TTCTTTATAATTACTGAAGTCATTACTTTTTTTCCATTTTAAGGCATGCTAGACATCTAATTCCCAGAACCTGCTTGCCACAGAGGACTGAGAGAGGTGCCTGTATCCAAATGCATGTGAATTCAAGAATATTCAGAACTTGGGTGCTTGGCCTAGACCATGGCAGGGAAAGGGGTGGCCAGTCACAAATTTACCAAAGCTCTGCAGCTTTAGGCAAAGAATTTTAGTCTGGGTCTCTCAGAGAAATGGTGAACTTCATCTTCTAGAGCTACCAATAAGTCGTATCACAATCACTCTCCCATCTTTGTGTGGCAGCTCCAATATATGGAAATAGCCTGTATCAGGCAGGTAAGCCAAGCTCAATGTGATTATGGCAGCCCAGCACGCAAACTTTCTTCATCCTTCTTGTTTCTGCTAAGCAAAAGCATTTCCTTTAGGTGATCCTGAAAATAGATACCCTTTGGAGGTTCACCTGTTCTGTCTCTAAGCCAACACACCTCTGGGGAACAGTAAAGTCGAAGTCCTATTCCAAATCCCCTTATAGATGACTCTGATTATCGTACTGTGTAAAAGGAGTACCTAAGGATCTCAACAGAGCTGTCCTCGGGCACAAGACACTTTGCAAATAGAGGCTGAGAGAGTGAGCTTGCCCTAAAGAGTGCACGGTCTCAGTTATAAGATGTCTAAGGAGCAAAGGCAGGGAAATGATGGATTTACACCCCAGCCCAGTGACTAAGCCAGAGACAATCTTGTTCCTGTAACAGCCAGTTTTATCACAGAGGTCAATACAGCCCTGATCTAACCAGGATGGGAAGAGTGGGCCAGACTGTGTAGCCCTGACTGCATCAGCTAATGTGGGAGCATCAGTCACGCTGGTTGTTATTAACAGTGAAGCCGTGCCCGCTGTCCCCTTGAAGGGTCTGCACCACAGGGCAGGCTTGCTGTTCTCTGCTTGCATAGCTCCCTTCCGCACTGCACAGAGTGAGAGACAAGCTTCAGGGACTGTCTCCAGCAGTCCTAATCTTTAGGGATTACGCATGAGTACTTTCCTGCAGGCATATGAAAAATACGCTTTCCTTCTAACCCGCTTCCCACAAGTGTGGAGAAGCCCTGTTGTAAAGGCTGTGTAATCGTTAGGACATGGGAGCATCAGAAGAACAGATGCAAAAATGTGCAGAGGATTTTTCTCCCTCTACATTTCCTAACCAGCCAGTAATAGCTACTCACTAATATAAATTATTTGCTCTATTACAGTGTTAGAACATGTAGCTGCTTCGAAGATTTATGCTTCTATTACTACATACCTGCACTCTCTCTTACAAGTTATTCCCAATTGCTTTATAGCAAATAACTGAATTAACTTTGTCTATGTACCAACAGATAATCCCCAAAATAAGCTTCTTAAGAACCGACTCTCATGTTGCTGGCGAATGCATCCAACCCTAAAGAAGATGAACAGTGAAAAGAGTACGCAAATGGAAAGTTAGACTAGCACCATCTTCTTTAGAAGAATCTAAATATGTGTATGTGTACAGACACATGTGCACTCAAACATGCACTGCAAGAAACGGTGCCAGGGAGTATTATACATAATCCCGGTTTTTAGACATTTATACTAATTACATTGATATTATTAAATGTCAGTTTTATACTTTAAATATGTAATTGGATTACCAAAATATGTCCAGAGCATTAAAACGCATCAATCATCCCAGTACCAGCTATTCTAGCTGCAGTCAGTTTTCTTTTTCAAAAAGTCAGTCACTAAATGCTTCTGGTTGTAAAAATGTTTACAGTGCCTCAGAGAGCCAAAGGTTAGTAGGCAAGCACACCGAAGAAGATTACTTTATCAGATAGCATACTAATAACATAGAAATCAATTTTTATTAAGGCATTGGTTCTTTAAACTAATTTTGGATGTATTCTACTAAAACCTCACTTTTTTCACAGCTAGTCCACACAAAACACTGAGGCCCCAGTGGCTCTTTCAGTCTGAAAATGAAATTTCATTTCATCATTGCCTTTTCATTCTGAAAATCCCGTTTCCTCAAGGTGGGATTTTTGCTTTGCAGCTTCTCTGGCAGAATAACCGAGCTCCATCGTGCCCCCCACCCCGCCGCCGCCTCACCTCACATGCACCAAGAAAGAGGGATGGAGCAGGGACACCCTGCGCTCGGTTTGCTCGCCCACTACTACATACTGCTCTTGGTAGGTTCGTCGTTATCCCTGAAGGACCAGCAACTCCGAGGCCGGGGAGTTGTTCCCATAGCCAAAAGATGATAGAGATCTCGGGCAAAATTAACATAACCATTGACAGTCCATGAGAGCTCAGTAAATAGCAGCTTGGGAAGCATCCTCCCCTCCAGAGAGCGAGGGTAGCAGAAACAGACACCAGAAGATAATGCTCGAACAGGCTCTACTATGCTTTAATCTTCAAAAGCTACCATTAGTAAGCCAGAGGAGTATATTTACCCACAAGATAAACACCACAAGTTCGCTAGGCTACTATCCATTAAGCACTGAAATAACTCCTCTTTCTTTTAACTTTCAAAAGGGAGCGAGGCGAGGCATCGCAGCGTGCCCGGCTCTCCCC